TGTGGAGATGAGGCTTTGTCTGCACAGCTTGGAACTTCCTTCTCTTCCTTTCCTCCCTCCCTCCCTCCCTTCCTCCCTCCATCCCTCACTCTCTTCTGTCTTTAAAGTGTCTTCTCTTCCCCGTGGAGCAGGAGACAGTCACAAAAAGGAGACTGAGCTGCTGGGCCTCACGCGCTCCCTGGCTGCTCGCACTCACTGCAGCCCTTCTTTGATAGAAACATGAGGGGCAGGCGGGTTGGAGGCAGCTCAGGGCTCAGGGGGGAGCAGCTTCCCGCAGCCATTGCTGGCTGCCTCCCCTGCGGGACTGAGGCCTGGTCCCGCCTCAGGACCTGGGCAGACTGTGCCATGCTGTTGCTGGGTGCTATTCTCTGGGTTCAAATGGGCTGCCAGAGGGAAGGCCTGGGAACAAGGGAACGGGGCAGTGGGAGGGCACCGGCTCTCATTCTGGGTGCCCTCGAGGCATAGCGAGTCCAGTGAGGAAGGTGTACGGGGCACTGTGCTGGGGACTTGACCCAGGGTGACCCCTCCGGTCCTCAGACACACCCTGAGGCAGAAATGGTTATTACCCGTTTACCCAAAGAAGAAAAGCTAGAATTTCTGGGGCCGATGCAAAATGAAAATGTGAGTCCCCTTTCCAAACTTAAGCATTTTAAGACGGTGACAACAGAGCGTTAAACCTGGTGAGGGTGGGCCCCCTGAGGGGGGGAGTGCTGGGGCCCATCTGCATGTTGTAGAATCTGTTCTGGGTTGACTTTCTGTGCATCTCAGTGTATTATTCACGAACTCCCTAGGTGAGCTGAGGCCGGGACTAGGAACTCTCGTGTCCGGTTTCCAAAAGGCGCCTCGGCCTGTGGAATGGACACTCCTTTCACTTCCATGTCACCCTCTGAGCGCCAGCCTGTGCCAGGCCCCCTCGGCGGCAGGTGAGTCTTGGAGACCCTGGAGGGCAGAATCCTGTAGGCGGGCAGGCCCGGAGTCTGTCGGGGCTGAAAAGTGTCCCCAGGGCCCTGGGGGGGGGTGGTTCTGTGTTGGGAGGGCACGGGAGGTGGCCTAAGTGACACGCAGCTATGAGCTGGGCAGGCGCTGCCTGTGTATGTGGAGGGTAGGGTGGGGAGTGCGGGGGCGGGGCGGGGGAGGGCCCAGAGAATGGTGTGGGGCTGAAGCAGGCAGTTATGAGGATGCAGCCCTGGAGGCAGGTGGCCTGGACACGAGGAGGGCCGTGGAGGAGGCTCGGAGAAGCCTGAGCTGGCTGGCACGGCAGGTGGAGAGCAGCTGGCCTTGTGTGGCTCAGGCCTGACCACAGACAGGGAGCCTGGCGGGCAGTGGTGAGCCGAGGCTGGACCACAGGCCTGGAGGAAGAGCATGGCTGCCTGGCAGGCTCTGAGTGCCTGTGCCACAGTCTCCCTGGTGCAAAGCTAAGCCGTGATGCCAGGTGGGCTCCCAGGTGGAGGGCAGCAGGGACGGGGTCAGCAGGCCCACTGTGCCCTCATGCCCCCTCAGGTTGGCCTCGGAAACTCTGGTGTCCCCAGCCTGGCTGAGGCCTCTGTTCTGGGGAGCCTTACCCCCGAGCTCCGAGAGAAACAGGTAAGAAAAGGCCGGGGAGACCAGGCTGCGGGGTGACCGGGGCAAGGCCCGCCACAGGACTTGGCATGTGATGTGGTGCTGTTACTTTATCAAAACAAAACAGCGGCGTCCGCAGCCAGGCGGAGATTACCAGCACCTGCAGGCAGGGTTTGCAGTGATAACGTCAGCCAACAACAGCCACAGATACCACGCTCCCGGGCTCGGGGCCAAGCTTTATTCCCTGCCCATCACGTGATCCTGTGAAGGGCCGCTACTGCTCCCATGTACAGAGAGGACACCAAGGCTCTGAGGCATTGTGGACCTCCCCAAAGCCAGTGAGGGAGTGGGGTCAACCCAGGCGACTCCACAGCATGTGGGGGACCCGGGTCCCTGCTCTACCACCAGCTCGCCACGGGAGGGAGGACACCTCACTGACCTCTGGGGCATTTCCCACGGGGGCAGGAACCTGACAGGAACCTGAAAGGCCATGAAGAGGCACTTTCCCTGAAGAAGAAAGACACTGTCCTCCAGGGGCACAAAACCCCGCCCAGCCTCACCTGTCAGGGCAACTTTCATTGGCACAATCACGTGATCTTTTAGAGGGCAATTTTCCATATCTATCAACATTTTAAAGCTACACACACTTTGTCCCAGAAATTAAATTCTGGGGGGATTTATCCTGAACGTATGCGAACACATGCACGTACAACTCTACTTACAAACCGAATGGCAGAACTGTGCCTGGTTAGAAAAAAGTCAACCTAAGACTGTACACAACCCCAAGGTGCATTGAGGAGGAACTGGTGTAATCTTTCACATCGATTCTTAAGAAAAACCGAGACGCAGCAGGACACACAGAATACGTTTCATTTTGTAGAATGAAGAGTAACTGTATACACACGCAGCGGTCCTAGGGTTCTGATAAAGCAGTAAGGCGCCTGCCTGCCTGGAGGCGGGCAGAGGTGTCCTTTTCCCAGCATTCGCTCTCTATTCACTGTTTCGATTTGCTTTGCTTTGAGCTTGTGTTTGCTGGCCCATGGTGTCTGCTCAGTTTCTAGAAGGTGTTTTGCTGGGGCCTCACAACAGCATTTGCCACCCAAAGAGGCAAAGTGACTTGGTTTGCCAACCTTCCCCCTGGCCTGGTAAGGGGCCTCTTCCTGCTCATTGTAGATGGGCTGATGTGCTCCCACTGCAAACCCGGAGTGCTCACTCCCCCACACCTGTTTCCCGGGGCCCCTGCAGCCCCCAATAGCTGCCCAGGCATGGCGCCCTTGGAAAGGCCCAGTGGAATAGGGTCACCTGGCATTGGCTCTCTTCCACTGATGCCAGGAGGGTAGAGCAATGGCTGAGATGGAATTCCTTTGGCACTAGCTGCCATCCTTCCTGCTCTGTCTCTGAGGCAGCACATTCTCCACGGGCTGCAAACCTGGCCCTCTCCTTACTGAGCGCCGGCCTCTTTCATCCAAGGGCAAGGCCGTGGAGTTCTGCACAGACTCACTGCCATCACTGTGGCCTCTGAGCTGCTGGGAGCCTAGCTGGGTAGGGCAGGCCCGGCCTGAGGGGTGGGGAGTGGGCGGGGGGGGCGGGGTGGTGGGGGGTAGAGGGTCCTCTCCATTCTGACCTCCAGTTCAGAGGAACAGCGATGTAAACTGAGACATCCTGCCCCAGTTAGCAGCAAGCAATAGGCCCAGGGTTCTCCCTCAGCGGAGAGCCTGCCAGAAAACCAGTCCCGAGGGAAATCTGGAATGGTGTGCAAGTGGGGGCTGCATCCCCATCCGTTCCAGGAGGGCAGTGTTTGCAGCCATTGGTCAAGGTCTGAAACCTGAATTCCAGAACACTGCTGGGGGAGGGGCTGGGGAGCTCTGGGGCAGGCGGCCTGGCCTCTGTCCACAGGGCCTGTCCGCAGGCCTGCACTCCCTCAGCACCTGACCCGGACGATTACAGGCGTTCTGTCCCCAAATCCTAGCGCGGCGCCCCCCTCCCCCAGTATGAACTTTTCAATGCACACATACTCTAAGACACATAAACATGCTGACACACATGAACTAACAGATCCACAGTCTCCACACGAACAAAGATTCCGGACATGTATCTCACTTCTCATGCCTCAGTCTCTGTGCTGAGCCACGGACACACTGCATTCTCACAACCCCATGAGGAACGGCTTATGTTCCCATTTGGCAGACGATAAAACTGTGGCTACGAAGGTGCTTGCCTCGGGCCGGTCGTGGCTACTGAGTGGCACACAGGATGCGATACAGGCGGCCAGGCTCCCACTGTGACCCGCCCTGTGCGTGCCCAGGCCCTGCTGAGCCAACCACGTGCACAGAGGCCACAGCACAGACACAGACCTGGCCCCTCAGCCTTCACAGCCAACGGACAGGTGTCACCAATAGCCGTATTGTTACTATATTAATGACTGACATGGTTACATTATAGACGCAGGAGGTTATTCGCAGGAGGTTATTCCCTCACAATTTCTAAGGCCTGGGCTAGGATTGGGGTAAGAGGGCTACACATTCATTCTTTTTTTTTATAAATACATGCTTAGTTTTTGTTGCTCAGCCCGGGGAGGCGTGGGACAGCCCAGAAATGTTTCTGGGCAGCCCCTGTGACTGGCAGGGGGTATGATTTCCTGTCCCCAACAACACGCGGGTTTCCCAAAGAAGCAGCCGTGGGAAGTGACAACCACTTAAGTCATGGTGGAGGGAGCACTCCCTCCCCATCTCAGTCCCTCCCCAACCGGACAGGGCCTGAGAGCAAGTATGGGGGTGGGGGCTGACCCGGGTTTCTCCCAAGGAGCCCAGTCCGGCCTGGGCGGCCCAGCAACAGCCTGCCTTCCTCTCGGTGCCTAACCTCCGCGCTTCTTCGGAGGCACCGACTTACTGTTTTAGGGGAAAGTTCTGGCCAGACACTCCCCGACCTGCACGCACAGAACACACGGGCGGGCGCGATGGCAGGGCGAGCGGAGGCCTCTCCAGGCCCCCGGCGCACCGTGCGCGCCAAGGCCGGGGCTGCAGGCAGGACCCGCGCCGGTGTGTGTGTGTGTGTGTGTGTGTGTGTGTGTGTGTGTGTGTGTGTGTGTGTGTGTGTGTGTGTGCAGCGGGGGGGGGGGGGGTGCGGAGCGGAGGGCGCAGAGCCCGTGCAAGGGTTCGGGAGCCCCGAGTCCCCCTCCAGGGTGGGGGTGGAGGGGGAGGTGGGGGTGGGGGGCAGGTCCCTCCGGGCGCGGGACAGGGGGCTCCTCCCTGCGACCGGGCTTTGCGAGCCTTGGGACGGCGCGGGGCTCGGCCTGAGCCCGGCGGGCACCGGGTCCCCCAGTCCGGCAGGGACGGCCGTGCCCCGAGTCCTGGGCCGCTGCGCCCTGTGCGGGCCGGGCTGGAGCCGGGCTGGAGCCGGGCCGGAGTTGGGCCGGAGTTGGGCCGGAGCCGGGTACTCACCGGGGCGGCCGGGCGTGGTGGCGTTGAGGCTGCTCATGGGCGGGCCGGGGTCCGGGGCGGCGGCGGGGGCCGGGGCCGGCGGGGCGGGGCGCGGGGCCGGCGCGGACCCTCCGCGGCCAGAGGAAGCGGCCCTGGGTCGGCTGCTCTACGCGGGCCGAGGGGAGGGGCTGCGGCCCAGACAGGCAGACTTCATTCACTTTTTCTGCACACTCGGCTGGTGGGGTTTCCACCCTTTTTAAAAAAAATGCGCTCCCGCCCACTTGGGAACTCTTCCCCCGCGGACTCCAGGTGCCCCGCTCCGGCGGCGCGGGGCTGGGGCTGAGGGCTCCCCTCGAACGGGACACTCCCGATGGGACGGGCTGCCGGCCTGGGCGGACGGTGACCAAGTAGGGACAGACCTGCCTGCATTTTGGCTGCTCTGCCCCGGGGGCGGCCCCTCGCGCCTATGGTTCCGGGCCAGGGGCGTTCTTGCCTGTGGCCCCTAGGGGGCGCTGTCCCAATGCACCACTAACGTTTGGGAAGGATTCACAGCAGAAAGGATGGCCGGCAAAGGCCATGGGCTTTCATTGGATCGCGTTCGTCTGGGCTTCCGGGCAGAGTGGAAGTTTGTGGAAAATCCATTTTACTTAGACAACGAAACACTCCCCTTGGGTTTCGGCACACCGGTTGGTATAATTCCCTCCCCCACGCCCCCCCACCCCGTCCCGCAAAAAAAAAAAAAAAAAAAAAAAAAAAAGAAAGAAAGAAAGAAAGAAAGAAAGAAAGAAAGAAAGGAAGGAAGAAAAGAATGTGGTGTTAAATGTAGCGGCATTCTCCACGCCCAGAGAAAGGAAGGGGCCTCACACTGTCACCCTGGTATTAAGTCGCAGCCCCAGGAGACACCCTGCACTTCTCCCCTCTGACCTCTGAGCCTCCCTGAGGAGGGGATTTCCGTGCGGTTTACCCAGCAGTCAGTCCCCCACGCACCGCTGGGAACCCCCTTCCCTACGGCAACCCCGGGCGGTTCCACTGTCAGCACCAGGTGTGCGTCTGTCCGTGGGAGGGTCCTTGTGGGACACGCAGGCTACCCTGGAGGTGCCCAGGTGCCTGCCCAGCACCCCCCGGGCGGGCCAGCTCCAGCTTCCCTGTGCGGACTGTCTGACGGTGGGAGCGTGTTCATAAGTCTCTAGTTCTATAAGGAAGCACCGCAATGGCTGCTAAGTCTTCCATGCGGGCCATGCCCATGCGGACTTCCAGGGAACTGCGTGCAGAACGCCCTGGCAGGTGTGGGCACCATGGGTTTGTGCCTGGAGGTGTCTGCGTTCCTTGTCTGTGGCATGGAGACAAGAACCTTTCCTTCCAGAGTTTCACAGACAGTGCCTCTAAACGGCGGCGCAGGAAAGCCGCTTGAAGAAGTCAGCAGCAATGACTGTAATAGTTTCACATGCTGCTGGGTAATAATATCCCTTGGGTCAGAGTTCCTACATTAAACAACTTCAGTGACCAGAAATACCGCTGGGGAGCTGGAAGACCCACGGGGTGACCCAGGCAAAGACCCACGGGGTGACCCAGAACAATCCCCGGGGTCACAGCTCACCATGGGAGGACATCTCAGAGGCTCACTGACGGCCCATGGCCTTTGACAACCAGAAGAAGTATTTAATTTCTCAGACTAGGACAGGTTAAAAACACCAAAACATAACAAGAATTCCTTAGAGAGAGGATGCCCAAAACCAAAGCAACTAACTGACCACAGTCTAAAGCTGGACAAACTGTAGAGATGGGAGGTAAGAGCCAAGTGACATTCTCTGCCAGCCAGAGCCCTGGGCCCAGCCAGGAACCGGGTGTGATGGCGCGGGCAGGCCAGGAGCCGGGCGTCGGGCTCCAGGAGCCCCGTCTGGGTTTAGCTTCGCTGCCTTGGAGCTGGGTGCCCTTCAACATGAACCTCTCTGAGCCTCCATTTTCTCATCTACGGAACCGGAGCCTTCTGCGAGGTGAGGTTGTGGTGGGTAGCAGTACATCAGATAGCAGTTAATGAACGGGATCCTACAGTGTCTTCCCTGGCACAGGGGCTCGTGGTAGTATGCAGTGGGTCCCCTCTTCACCAGGGACGCCCTTGGGTTACAGTAAGGACCTCAGGCCATTCTGCAAAGAAGGTAAATACCACCGAGGGAGTAGTTTACCTAGTAGGGAAATGTTCGATATATTTTAGGAGATTTAACCATGGAAGTGTCTAATTTTACAGAAATGAAGGCTATTTTAAAGAGGTAAATAATTCTAAGAAAAACTAGATTATATTTATCTGAAATGCATCATTAGTGTGTTTCTGTGTTGGGTATTTATTAATGGAGTAGAAAGAACTCAGCTATATTTTGTAACAATAAAATGGTTCTTGTCTCATTTAATTCCCATAAAGACAGACCAAGAGGATACTGTCAAGGCCCATTGTTAAAAGTGAGTGGCCTGAGTGGCAGCAGTGACAGCCTGCCGAGGCTGCAGGGAGGGCTGAGGCCTCGCTGGCGCTTTGTGGGGCCACAGGAGGCGGGGATGAGCTGCGGAGCCCTCCGAGGGGTGAGAGGTGGTGGAGCCAGGGAACCGTGTGCTCCTCCCAAGCACTGCCGGCAGGTGCTGCCCCGGGGAGGGTCTCAGCTGCCTTCTCTCCTCCCAAAGGAACACGCCCAGGGCTGCCCCTCTTGGGAGGGATTCTGTCTTCCCACTGTGAGCTCTCCAGGTGGGGGTGGGATCGCTAAAACTTTTGCTCTTCATCAAAGTAGCAGGTGCTCTCTGTGCAGAAAATTAAGAGAAGAAAAACAAACCCAACAACTGCTCATAATCTCCAGCACCATAAGGGATGTTTATTTCAAGCTGGCGTATGTGTTTGGGAAATTTGCTTCATGCAACTGAGATTTTCCTAAATGTACGCTTTTGAGTGCTGAGCTTTTGCTACCAAACATTATGCCACAGCCATTCTCCCACATGGAAGGGTAGAAGCTCTTTAATTTGTTGTAATTACCTAATTGTTTCCTTTCCTTTGCCAGTTAAACTGTGCATTATAAAGCATGTGAACGTAAATACCTGTATTTCATGTTTTTTTGTTAGCCTGCGATCCAACAATGTAATTACTGGGTCAGAGGTTAGGAGTGTTTCAAACTTGGATGCATTCCTGGGTTGTGGCTGCAGCAGTTTGTATTCTCAGCAATCAGTGATGAGATGTACCAATGCTCACTTCAGAGCCTCTTGTCAGAATTAAGTATTAGATTTTAAGTAAAAAATAATTTATGTAGATGACAAACATTTGAAATTATTTGTTTGTACTTTCTTGATTACTAGCAAGGTTGAGTATACTGTCAGGCTCATTTATAAATTGCAAATTCTTTCAGGTGAATATTTTGTTCCTCCTGTTTCCTCAGTCAGAGATGGTTAATGTTTTTCTTATTAATTTATTTGAACGCTTTATACACAAAAGACAATACCACCTTTTCATGTGTATTGCGAATGTATTTTCCTTGGACATTTTCCTGTTCTTGTGTGTGAGTACAGAGGCCGAGTTAGACTTATCCATTGGCAAGTCAGCTCTTTTAAGAAAATCAAATTGTGGCCCTCGCCAGTTTGGCTCAGTGAATAGAGCATCATCCTGCGGACTGAAGGTCCTGGTTTCAATTCCAGTCAAGAGGTAAAGGGCACGTGTCCGGGTTGTGGGCTCCATCAACAGTGGGGAGCACGCAGGAGGAAGCGATCAATGATTCTCTCTTATCATAGATGTTTCTCTCTCTCTCCCTTCCTCTCTGAAATCAATAAAAATGTATTTTAAAAAAGAAAACCAAAAAGTGGCTATGCATATTTTAAGAGTCATGGAGAGAAGCAACAGCCTGTCACAGGCTGTGGGTGCGGAGAGTGCGAGGGGCATGGGGAGGCGGGTCCAGGGAAGCCAAGAGCAGAGACCTGGGCTCCAGGGGCTGGGGGCTCCGGCCCTGCAGCCTTGGCCTGGAGCCCTCCCTTCCCGCAGCACCAGGTCTCCCTGAGGAGAAGCTGTGAGTAAGGAGGCTGAGGCTGAGAGGCAGCAGGGCTAGTGCTGCGGCCAGGACTGAACTGCCGGCCCCTCTCCTCTGCTTGTTACCAAAGGCTGGTGCTCAGTGTGCGGGGCACAGAGGAGGGCCAGTTGATGAGGTTGTGAGAGCCAGAGCTTCCTGGGGGCCCTAACTTCCAGGGACACCTCATTCGGGGGTACATCTTTTAGCCTCTGGCTATCTCATAACCCACTGTCTCCCTGAGGAAAGAGGGGCAGTCTGGGGACCTGTAGGACCTCCCGGCAGGGTTCTGGGAAGGTCCGATGTGACATAGGCAAAGGGGCACACATGGTGGACAGCACTGAAGCCGGCCTGCTGTGGACTGGACTGGAACAGTGAGGAAGCCTCAGACTGGAGAAAAGGAAGAAGGAAGCAAGAAAGGACAAATGTCAGGGGAGGGCTGGCTTGAATCTCAGGCAGAGAAGAGGAGTGAGTCTGAAGAAGGACGCTGCTTACTGCTCAGCCCATGCTGCTTGCTGTTCTGAGCCTCAGGAGGCATGTGAGGTGGGCATCCCAGCAGGGGTTGGAGTGCACAGACAGCGAGCACCTAGCAGTGAGCACCTAGAAGGACCCAGGCCTCCCGCACTGCCCACCCTGTGTGCTTGCTGCGATGTTAGGGCATTCCATTGCCGGGAAGTGGGCTTTGTTTTGCTTGTCTGGTTTTCCTTTTTTCCCTTCTTCATTTTGTAAAAAAGGAAACTGAGGAACAGAGAGGTGAGGGAACGGCTCATGCTCCCCAGCTCCTCAGTGACAGCTCAAATATGAGCCCGGGTTGTCCAAACCCAAATCTCTGCCAGTTCTCCTCGCATCCCTCCAGCAGCCTGGAGGCCCTGGAGCCATCCCTGGTGCCACCCTCAGCCTGGGCTGCTCAGGCTGGTGGCCCTGAGCACAGGGGAGCAGGCAGGAAGCTGCGGAGAAAGCCTTGCCCCGTGTCCCCATCAACGCGCAGAGAAATGGAAATCTCATTAATTAGCGAGTGCATTGCCAACTTCCCGGAAGGTGTGTTTGGATCACAGCCCTTCTCCTTTGGGTACAAGTTGTTGGTGTGGAAACTGAACTAAAATTCGCATTTCAGCTGCTACCAACTGAACTCTGAGTCCCCTACAGGAAGGAGGCCACTTCCTCCCGAGAGCTTTGCTGTGGCTTTTGTCCTCTTTCCCTGAGGAGAGAGGAAGAGGGGTGTGTAGGTCTGTGACCTAGAAGGGGTAGCTGGAACGGTAATTCATCTGCCAGACTTTCTGTGAGTCCCACATGTTTTATCTTACTTAGTCCCAGGACAATCTGGGCAAGGAAAGAGCAGGGTGGGAATGTGGCCCACACGGATGCTTATTCCTGGCTCACCACTCGCCACTTTGCTGAGGGACTTTGCCTCCATTAGTC